ATTGAATGCATTCAACAAGAAGACATCCTTGTCCTATACTTGTTTCAGTGTTTTGAACACATTTATCTTCACCTCTCTCAATGGTATATAGATTAGAATTAAATAAATATTGTTATTTTAAATTTTTCTATATTTATTTATTTACTATTATACAAAAATTATCACAGCAATTGTGAAGTTTTAAAATTTAACGATTATAAGTATTAATGTTAAATTTAATATATTCATACAGGTTTACTTTTTTACAGTACTACCATTTACTGCTCTGGGAATGTTGCTGAACAAGTTTTAATGCATTAGTTTTAATTGTTAAAATTCATGTCACGATGACTAATTTGTGTTAAATGTGAAACATTTGCTTCAGAAAGAATCCCTGGGAAATTCTTTTGCCTTTTTCTCAAGTTTGCATTCAAAGCATAATTTGCTTTGTGATGTAATCAGAACATGAATATAAAAGATTTAATTGAAATGAATAAATTTAGTAATTAAAAGGAAATCCGAGGGTGTATCCCAAAATACTTGGAATGAAGTGACTCTTCCCTGGTCATAAATTAGGAAAGGTACTGTGGGTCATTTCAAACTTGTTCTATCAAATTGCAGTATGAATTCAAACAATTGTTTTTAAATAGTCTTCAGGCAAACAAGCCATGGATTTTGAAGAAACCTAATTTTTAATTTTCAAGTTTTTGTTTAACATTTATTGACATGAACTCCAAGATAGGTCAGTTAGCACAAATATCTGATGGCAGTCATCATTGTGAATTTTTTATTTCTTCAACTTGTGAACAACTATCCAATATTAAGAGATTAAGTTAGAAAAATTTGGTCAGAAAGAAGTGGGTGGGGGGAGGCACTGTACTGCTATGTAATAATAGCTAATCTCTGGCAATACCTAAATTAACTGGTTTGCTTATTAAAAAGTAAAAGAAATCTGCCATACCTTTTTTTTTTTTTTTTTTTTTAACTGTATTAGCATTCATTGAACCTTTCTCAAGCTATGGCATTTATCAGAATTTAAAAAATATTGACATTTTTTATCATTTTAGAAGGGAGGTCCTGTTCATAATATTAATACAGTATCAAATCAACCCCTGACTTTAAAGAGTTATCTGTACTTAGTTTTTATATACAAATGTCATGTTTAAAACTGTTTATGTCCTTGACATGTACTACTGATGTTCTCCTTTTTTCAAAATTTGTAATAGGATACAGCTAGCAATAACATAAGTACAGTTTCAAACTTGACATTTGTAAAATAAAAACAAAGTACATGTACCTTAAGTAACCAGGGATTGATTTGACACTGTATTTATTTTATAATAGAACATGATAAAAATCCATATTTTTTTGATTTTGACAAATGTTGTGGCCTGAAGAAAGTTTAATGTATGTAAATCTACAAAAATGAATTCCCACACCCAAATTCTTCCCTATTTTCTGCAAGAGGACCAATCTGTTTAAGTAGTGTCAATCTCTTAGATGGCAGTGAATTTCCTAACAGATGAAGAGACTTGAAGTAATAGTTGTTATTCATTAATTATTTTTATGAGAAAAAAAACTTCAATTTTTGTTTGTTTACAGCTAACATATCATTTTCTACTGTTAACTCCCAAAGCTGGATTAAAATAGATTTATTTATAAGGGTATCTTTTGGATGAAGATGCAACCAATATAATTATTGCTTTGTTCTTTGGAATTGGACATTGGGGCTGTTGAGCTTCAATATGGCTAATATAATTATTATCACCCTCCTCCTCCTCTTAAACATTTTCCAGTGTGGTTATAAGTTCAACAATACCCTGATCAATTTAGTTTTCATACTCATCAGAGAATTGTAAGCCAAAATCTTTGGCACAACCAAACTGTGATAATTCAAGTATATGTTCTTTGTAGGAAAACAAGGAAATTATTAAAAATTAATTGAAATGATTTTATCAAAAGTTGAGTATGGTTTTCTAAATTTTCAAAATTGTCTGTTTGGATAATTGTAAAATGTTTGGATGATTTCAAATTTTCTATTATTTGTGTCTTGATAATTTAAGTCCAGAAAATCAAGGAAGTACTGTACAGTGGAAACGGTGAGCTAAGTTCATATTCCAGTTGAGGTTGTTGCATTCACTTTATACTAATGCTCTTTTGAAAGGCATGACTCCATTTCTTCTTCCTCCAGCTATGGATTAAATAACAGGGTAGAGTTGGCTCTCTTGCCTTAGATAGATGCCAGTCTCAGAGAAAAAAAACTGAATTCAAACCAATTTAGATGTATTGGCATCAGTTGTAGCATGGTAATCTTATCAACTTAATGGATAATGTCTTGGAATTAGAAATCTGAGAGCAGTTTGATTTCCAGTTGGGTTTGTTCAATTCACTTAGAGGCACAAATACCTTTGGGAAAAGGATGAATCCATCTTCTCTACCTGGCTATGGGTTAAATAGTAGGGTTTGTATCAGGAAATTATCATAAATCACTCACAAAAAAAAAATGAAAATTATTCTTTCACTCCAAAAATGTTTCAGCATTATAAAAAAAAAAAAAAATCAATCTGGTTTCCCAGTCAAATTTTATCTTGAAAAATTTAAATGCAATGTTAATCATTATCCTTTGCCTTACTGTATATTCTCATTTCATGTATAGTATGAACCCTTCAGTTTTTTGCATGAATTTTGTACCCCCCAAGGAAAAATTTACCTGTGTATAGTGTAACCAGTCATGGAAACAGCATGATTTTTAACCACTTCAAAAAAAAAAAAATGCCCGTGTATATGCAACCCATTCTTTGTGGAAAAACTGATCATAAAAATTTGCTCTATACTCGAGTATATATAGTAGTTCCTGTTCTTTTATTGTTCTCTATCCTTAATGTTTTTCTTATTTTTTCACACTATCAGGGTCTTTTAAATGATTACAATTTAAATAATTTGCAGAGTTAAACTTTGATGTGCAATGGACCTTTTTATCCTGTTGTAACTTAGATGTACCATATCCTACAAATTACATGCCAAAATTTTATGGATAGAGATCTTGGTTTTCAGTATTGAGTTTTTTCATCCATAATTTCTTCCTTGTTTCAATAAGAAATAATTATTTTCAATCTGGGTTTTTGTTATGACTCCTGTTTTTGAGAAATTTCAATTTTGTTACATCTAAATGGTTTCTTATTCCACCTCCAAAAATATTACTTTAATTGAAATCCATTTACATTATTTGGAATGTTATCCTCATCTTTTATTGCCATATTCACAACATTTTGGATGGATTACCTGAAGAAGGCCGGTGTGTACAATTGCAGAAACATTGTTAATATGGCAATGAAGATGAGGATAACAGTCCAAATAATGTAAATAATCATCTCAGAGATATAGACACTTAATTGAAGTCACTTATGCAAAAATTATAACTTTATAGCAGGATGGCTACACATTGACTTTGAGCAATTATTATTCCACACAGCATAAAATGTTGATTTCTGGAAAGAAATTTCTTTTCAATCCACCACTTGCCACTTAATAAATCGGTCATCTCTTTTTATTGACAAGCTGTATCCAATACTTTTTCAAAGTACCCCTAATGTCCTGAGCATGAATTATTATTGTTGTTGTTTTTTCTTTGCTTTGTATAGTATGAGTTTCCCTCCAGGCTCAACCAGAGACTTCAGTAAACAACAAAATTTTTATCTCAGGAAATGTAATTTTTATCTTAACTTAATTTTTCCAATATTTTGAAAGATGTTTTTTTGTGTTTTTTTTTTTTTTGTTTTATTTTTTGGCTGGAGTTGCAACATCTATAAGACAAGTGTTTGCAACATGATTTGCTACAATTTGCCTGGATCAATCTGAATACTCATCATTCCATACAACATGTGGTGGCTTATATTCACACCAATTCTCTTTGTGAGGTAGTTTGGATGCATGACATATTGACCAATCTATGTACTGAACAGCCCTATCAATGCTCTGTTGGCACAAGTTAGCCACACTCAGATATTGTGTGGTCAATTATCTCTGGATGTTCTCCACATATATGACAGGATGGACTACATTTAAATTTCAGCACATTACATTGGCAGTTCCTGGTTAGAAGGCAGCAATCATGAATTCTTCAGTTTCTGATTTGAAACCAGAGCCTGCCAGCCATTGATGAGTAAGAATTTTATCTACATCAGGATTGCTGGTTTTGATAGGGTATTTGCCATGCAAGGGTTGGGGTGTTGTCTGATTTCTCCCTAATATTTTTAAGGCTGATTTGTTTTCCTGCATTTTTTGTTTTGCTTTTTCACTTGAGGATGCATTTTCTTCAGTTTCTGGTTCATGTAACTGCATTTTAAGAAGATATGTTATGGATTTTTTTGTCACAGAGTGCAGTTTTTTTTTTTTTTTTTTTTTTGTATCTTAGTCTTAATATGAAATTATTTGATTGCTGCAACTATGCAAAAAGATCCATATTTGCAGTTTTCTATGATAGTTGCTGTTGGAGTAATTCCTGACTATCTTCTCTCCTTGGAAAATCAGTGTTTGATTTTGAGTGCTGCATGCAATGCATTGTGCAAAGTTTTTGTATTTTTGCATCAATTTTGTTTATCTTGGAGATAGGCCAATTAAAAATTTTGAATTTGTATATGATGCAGTTTATGGCTCCAATTTAGATTTTTAGCATTCATCTCTGAATAGCTCTCTCTCTCTCTCTGTGTGATAGCACTCTTTTTGTAATTTTCTCTCATTAATGAGTATTTAATTCTCTCTTCTAGCACTGAAACTCCCTTCAATTTTATTTCAGTATCCCTGTCTTGGGTGATATTGTATTTGCTTAATAATTTCCCTTGAGAAATGTAGCCATGAGACATTTATCAGGCCCAATTTCCATTTTGATGTTGTCACTAAATTGCTCGACAGTACAGAAGATGCTTCATAGTTTTCTCATACACTTTATATCCACATTTTATTTTATTCATTCAATCATCATTGTCATTATTATTGTTCTTGTGGTTATTATCTCTTTTCAGAAACTTGTGGCAAAACCTGACCAACTAATTAAACGACGAGGCAAATTGGGGTTGATCAAGGCTGGAGTGGACTTTGAGGGTGCTAAAAAATGGCTCACCGAAATGATTGGGAAGGAAATTCAGGTAAGTGGAATTGGAAACTATATATTTTGTTTTGATGATTGGGTCATTTATACACCCACCCCAACAAGAATGTGGATACACAGCCAAGTTGTGATGGCTTACCATTCTGTAGAGATATTGTGATATCTTCTATTAAAGTTTATTTTAAAGATAGTAGAAAGTATAACTTGTAAACAAAGTATGTTTAGATTACAAACAAGTACAGTAATAGTATGAATAGTTTGGTTAATTTGTTATAAAATTAGACGAAACTCAAAAAAAAAAAAAACCTAAACTCTTCAAGGTTTTATTATTATGAAGACTAACATCCTCATTTTTAATGTTTAGGTATTTTTTCCTTTGTTCTCCGCTGTTAAGGCCTTTACTTTTGCGAAACACGTGTGGAGAAGTTAATTTGATTTTTCAATTTCAACTGAAAAGGGTACCTACAAGTATCAGTATCATCTTATGAAATTTATATGATCTTATTTTTATATTAATCTCAGTTATGACATTTTTTTCCATAAATGAAATATCAAAATTAATAATAAAATAAATGCAAATACAAATAACAGTAAAATGTAATAAATGTACATAAAATTATAGTATTTTATGTGCAGTTCTGATAAAATTTCATAAGAAAGGTACCTATAAATTAATTAGATACTGTTGTGTAGGAACCTACCACCCCTCTTGAAGATGAACTTGTCTACAAACAAGGACGTTAAATAGTGGCATGTCAAAAGACAGAGTGTGGGAGAAGTTCTGGGCTGAGTTAGTTATAGACTACTCAGGCGATTTCTGTACCAACTTACCAACCGAATAAACCCCATTTTATTGTTACATGTTATTTGGCGTTTGTCTTTATTAACCCCAAATTAACATCATAACAGATACCTTTCTCAGGAAGTATGAAATTTAATGTCACTCTTAACAGTCTTATTTTAATTTCTTTAGAATATATTTTCCATAAAGCATCATAAACGTAAAGGTGAAAGCTAAGTACAAAAAAAAAAAAAAGCTGAAAGTTTTCGTTAAAAATAATGAGGTAAATAATTTGTTCACTTAAATGTAAATTATTTCACTTTTCTCCTTCCGTAGAACAAATTAGCCTCATGGAATTCATAAATATGTCATTCATCACCTGTCAAGAGACGCGAAAGTTTATAACCTGCTTTGTTTTATTTTCAAATTACATCTTTTTGGCACAAAAGCTAAGTTAAGTTTGGTTCAAAATATTTCAAATAAACATTATAATTTCTGATTTTCTTAAAGTAAGTTTTGAAAAAATGATAATGGATATTTAAAAGAATTTCAAAGTGAGATTTCCAGTTTTTTTTTAAAATGGAAAAAAATGGTCAATTTTGCTGACTCAAAAAAAAACAAGATTTTTAACGAAAATTTCGGACATGCTAGGAATGATTAAAAAATGGAAAAAAATACCCCAAAAATACTTTGATCTTTCCTCTTAATAATAACAAACATTTAGACGATAAAATTTTGTTTTCGTCAAGTTTGGCGTCTTTTTCATCATGCTATACTCTTTTTTTTTTTACCGATCTCGTGGAGGTACCTACTTTTAAGAAAGCAATTCTTCATTCAGACTGACAATAGTTCTCCAGGTAGATAACACAAGTGCTACTGAGGAGAAATTAAGAGACTTTATATTTAACTCTAGAGTGGAATACACTTTAATCTGCAGGTGTTACTAGTCTTTTGCTGCTGCTAATTAGAATCTATTGAGTTGGGATGCAACCAATTTTAGTTAACCTTCAATTTCTCTTATTCTGTGCTGGTATACAAGTCTAAACATTGTTACTATCACAATGTTTTTGCCATTGTGCTCTCTGGCCTTGTTAAAGTGTCTGTTGATCCTGTTAACCTTCAGGGAATTTCAAACTGAGCCCTTTATATTTAATATATTGGGGCAGATTGTTCTCATTCTGTTGTCCATGTTTAAACATTGTGATAATAACATTAGAGATATCTGACTAAATAATAACTCTTGATTTCAGAAATTCAAACAAAAATCATTGTGCTTCAGTGTTGTTAATGGAATGTTCAAATGAACATTCCTCTAACTTTAAATCAGATTTTACATGGCCATGTAGTGTAGATATCCACAGATGTCCATACCAGACAAATGTGACTCCAGGAGTGTCCTCATTGACCATTAGGATTTGTTTACTTGAAGCAGGACAATAAATTTGGACAAAAAGAGGACATCCCCCAATCCTGATGCATTCTGAAATTAACCTTTACCACACAATTTTCACTGTAGAGTTCTCTTCCTTCGCTACTCTAGGTGCATTCTGTTGCCTTGAAATGGTTGCTGTGAATAAATGCTTGTCAACCGTTATTTCCTGTATTTTAAGCTGGAAATTGCATACTACTGCTTTGAAAGAAGATTAAACTTCCATTTTCCAATGTCATTTTGACTTCTAGAGTTTACACGAGGTGTAACGCCAATTAAATCCACATTAATTTTTTTGCAATTTTTTTGTAAACAAAAATGGCCACGTCAATTTTTTTGCAAGTTTTTTGTAAACAAAAATGGCCACGTCAACATTCAACAAAGTATTTATTCAGGAGTTTTTCTTAAATTAGGACTCAGATGGTGACTTTGAAGGCTTTACTCATGTGGATATTGATGGTGAAGTGGTTGAAGATGATAACCATGCTAGTGATGTGAAGAAAAAAGATGACCACTAGCAGCTACTATCATCCATGCCTGACTAATTTTATAGAAGCTACTGGTGACCATCAATATACCTCATAGCCTTTCTGAAGGTGAATTATTTTGTCTATTTATAAACAACGAAATAACTTTATTCATCAATGAAATAAATAAATATGAGTCAGATGAAAGAAAGAGCAAAGAAATGCTCATCTTCTCATGTAAACACGTCACTTTTTTGACGAAAGCTTTCTAAATGATTTTGCTTCTTACTGCACACCCACAACTCCACAAGGAGTAATAAGTTAAAATATGTTGAATTATTTATGTATTTTTTAATGTATTTTTCTTTTATTTTGCGTTTCATTTTTTTGTTTTCAATGTCAAAATCTGCATGCAAAAGGTACATTACATAATGCATTACATCAAAATATTACTCATTCATTCTTTTATTAGTGTACAAAAATTAAAATCTATATGCACAATACAAAGAAAATTATAACAATTTTAAAACAATAGGTGTTCATGTTTTTGTACCTTCAAAAAAATGGAGTGGCAGGGGAGACAACTCTAGAAAGAAATTAGCATGATAAAGGTTAAGAATAACATTTACAGTTGGAATTGAATTACATTCAAATTGTTAATTTGTAGGTTTCCTACAACCAACCAGAGTACATTTGTCACAAAATTGACAATTTAAAAATCCCTATGTGTATTTTTGTCATTTTAAAAATCCCTATGTGTACTTTGAACAAATATTGAATTTTTGGCTGCAAAGGTTGTCAGAATGTTGAAGGCAAAAGAAGTTCATAGTTATAATTAATGATCCTAATTATGGAAGGTGTTCTCAAAACATCTCCAATGAATTTAATATCTGTATATTTTTCTTCATACTGTCAGATATATATCCATATATTTTGCTTATATATATATATATATATATATATATATATATATATATATATATATATATTAGTGTTCATTATATATATATATAATATTAGTGTTCATTATATATATATATATATATAATTTAGTGTTCATTTTTATATATATATATATATATATATATATATATATATATATATATATAATATTAGTTTCATTTATATATATATATATATATATATATATATATATAATTGGGACTGTTCCATTTTATTATATATATATATATATATATATATATATTTTATATTATTTATTTTATATATATATATAATATTAGTGTTCATTTTATATATATATATATAATATTAGTGTTCATTTTATATATATATATATATATATATATATATAATATTAGTGTTCATTATATATATATATTGGATATTTTGATCATTTTATATATATATATATATATATATATATATAATAAATAAATTTCCAAGAGGATAGAATCCAGCTCAATGTCTAGGACAGAGTAAGAATATAAAATAAAAGGCTCAAGCGCTAATATTCCATGGTTATAATTTATTACATTGTAATCATAATCACGATACAATTTATCAGACCTACAAAAAGAAGTATAACAAAGTGGGAAACAACTTTTTGTGATGTGTTTAGTCCTTTAGGACTCCATCAGACTAAGTTTATTTTTATGTTGATCCAATTACACTTGCATATGAATGAAAGGGAGATGCTGAGAATTGTAAATTGAAAATATATTTTTTTCAGTGTCTTGGGTATATAATCTAACCAATTACATTTAATTTTCTTCTTGTTTGTTTCCATCACTTTTGTTATTAAATGTTCCATGTTGTGATAATAGAAGACTTGCCAAGACATATTTAAAAAAAAAAAAAATTTAATTCCCAGCATCCCTCGTTCATGCACTTATGTAATCATATCAACATAAACTTTAAAGTTCTAAAGGAGGAAATGTATTGCACAAAAACTTTTCCAATTTGTCATACTTCTTTCTCCTTATATATTTGCTCTAATTCCTCCTCTTTATCAATACTTCTTTTCAACAGTAAAGTCTGTCTATATTTCAAAGATGAGGTATTATATACACTATTTACATTATTCGGACTATTGTCCTCATCTTTGTTGCCATATTTATTACAACATTTCAGCCATTGTATGCTTCAGCCTTCTTCAGGTGGTTGGGATGTCAAACTAAACCCTTTGTTTCGCTCACTGGGGTAGACTGTTCTAGTTCCACGTGCCATGTTTAATGGATGTCAGTTGTTAGTTATCTCCTGTTAATTCCCCTCTCCAAGTTCTCCACTGCCTTAACTGAGTATTGAACTCACACTTTTTGTTTCCTGTCAGTGGATCTAATTAATGCCATTATCCACTGTGCCATGTGTCCAGTGAGCCAAATAAAGGGTTTAGTTTGACATGCCAACCACCTGAAGAAGGCCGGAGCGTACAATAGCTGAAACGTAATAAATATGGTGATATAGATGTGAACAATAGTCCGAATAATGTAAATAGTGAACAGTAAAGTCATAGTAAATTATTTGCTTTGTATCAATATTATAATTAGTATATAACCTGATTCTATTAGTCATGCTTTTCTAAATCCCTGACCATTGAAAATCTTTTTTTTTACTCTCATTTTTAATGGTCTATAATATATAGTGAGTAGTTAAATTTCTTGAAATGAAGTTTAGATAAAAAAAAAAAATTACAAATTTAAAAATCATCAAATCCCACTTTCAAACATAAATGTTATGATTTTTTTCTTTTCTCTTTTTTTGTCATCGCCCATCAAATGACCTTCACTTTGTTGAATTCTGTTTGAAAAAATGAATCACACGTAGAATTTTGTCTCCTTTTCATCCTTGTCTGCTTCCATTTGTCTGGTTATTCTCCTTCTTGTCATTTTTTTTTTTTTTCTACTTAAAGGCAGTTTGATTGTACAATGTACATTTAGCAAAAATACTGGGATAAAAAACAAAAAGAAACTATGAAACTGAATCATGGCATAGATTGTACATAAATAAATCATTTCTTTTTGGTTTTCCTTTTCTCTCTCTGTTTTCCTTTCACCTCCCTTTTCTCTCTCTCTTCTCTCATTCCTTTTTTTTTTTTTCTCTCTCTCTCTTCCTTTCATAAATTTTTTCTCTCTCTCTCTTCCTTTCACCTCCTTTTTCTCTCTCTCTCTCTTTTTTTCCCTTTCTTTTCTCTCTCTAGGTTTTTTCACCTCCCTTTTTCTCTCTCTCTTCTTTCCTTTCCCATTCTCTCTCTCTCTCTTCCTTTCACCTCCCTTTTCTCTCTCTCTCTCTTCCTTTCACCTCCCTTTTCTCTCTCTCTTCTTCCTTTCACCTCCCTTTTCTCTCTCTCTCTTCCTTTCACCTCCCTTTTCTCTCTCTCTCTCTCTTTCTTCCTTTCCTCTCTCTTTTTCTCTCTTTCTTCCTTTCACCTCCCTTTTCTCTCTTTCTTCCTTTTTGTACCTCCTTTTCTCTCTCTTTTTCCTTTCACCTCCCTTTTCTCTCTTTTTTAAATTTTCCTCCAATTCTCTCTCTTATTTTTCCTTTTATCTCCCTTTTTCTCTCTTCCTTTTTCTTTTTCTTAATCTCTTTCTTCCCTTTTCTCTCTTTCAAACCTCCTTTTCTCTCTCTTTCTTTCCACCCTCCTTTTCTCTCTCTTCCTTTCACCTCCCTTTTCTCTCTCTTCCTTTCACCTCCCTTTTCTCTCTCTTCATTTTTTCTCTCTCTCTTTCTTCACCTCCCTTTTCTCTCTCTCTCTCTCTTTAATCCCTTTTCTTCTCTCTCTCTTTTCTCCTTTCTTTTCTCTCTCTCTCTCTCCCTTTTTTCTCTCTTTTTTTACCTCCTTTTCTCTCTCTCTCTTCACCTCCCTTTTCTCTCTCTTTCTCTTCTCCTCCCTTTTCTCTCTTCTCTTCTTCACCTCCCTTTTCTCTCTCTCTCTCTTCATTTTATCTCTCTCTCTCTCTTCACCTCCCTTTTAAATTTCTCTCCTCTCTTTCAAAAATTTTCTCTCTCTCTCTAGTTTACTTTTTTTCTTTCTCTCTCTCTCTCTTTTTGAAAAATCTCCTCTCTCTTTTTTCTCTCTCTCTCTTTCTCTCTCTCTCTCTCTCTCTCTTCCCTCCCTTCTCTCTTCTTTTCTCTCTCTCTCTCTCTCTCCCTTTTCTCTCTCTCTCTCTTCTCTCCTCCTCCTTTCTCTCTCTCTCTCCTCCCTTTTTTCTCTCTCTCTCTCTTTTTCTCTCTCTCTCTTCTCTTTTTCCCCTTTCTCTCTCTCTCTCTTCTCCTCCCTTTTCTTTTTTTCTCTCTTCTTCTCCCTTTTTTTCTCTCTCTCTTTCAAAATCCCTTTTCTCTCTCTCTTCTTTCCTTTTCTCTCTCTTTTCCCTTCTCTCTCTCTCTCTCTCCACCTCCCTTTTCTCTCTCTCTCTCTCCACCTCCCTTTTCTCTCTCTCTCCTTTCCCTTTCTCTCTCTCTCTCTCTCCCTCTCCTTCTCTCTCTCTCTTTTCTTTTCTCTCTCTCTTTCTCCTCCCTTTTCTCTCTCTCTCTCTCTTCACCCTCCCTTTTCTCTCTCTCTCTTCAAATTTTCCCTTTCCCTTTCTCTCTCTCTTTTCTTTCACCTCCTTTCCTTTCTCAAACCGGTTCTCATTTGATCACCAAAGTTAAGCAGTGTTGATCACAGTCAGTACTTAGATGTGGGATAGCTTAGGAAATATGCTTCACATTTAAATAACCTATAAAGTGGTGTTGATAAGCCATAAAAATGCAGATCAATCAATTTCCCTTTCCTTCTTTGTTTTTCCCTTTCTCTCTCCAATTCCTCTACTCACATCTCTCAGCTTTTCCTTTTAATAGTTTTGCATGAATTAGGAAGTGAATCAACATCATATTATTTGCTTTGGCAAATATCTGTGTTTACTTTCTCTCTGCTTCTCTAGCTGCAGATGCTATCCTGTCTGATCCAATTGACCCATGCCCAGCTGTTGTGTGCTTTCAACTGGACTGCCTCGAACTGAAATTCCTCACAATTTAAAAGGAGTAATTAATTGATTATCAATGTCCACCAACTTCCAGATCAGTTCCTTTTATACCCTTGGGGATTTTACACACATTCTCATCTATTTTCTTCTGTCCGTTAACTGATTAACTCCCACTTGCCGAATGTTTTTTTTTCAATAAAAAAAAAAAAATTGTGTTTTTAAAAAACAGAAGACCTATTGTGTGACTCAAACAACAAGATTATCTTTCCTTTTCTTTTAGGCCATCATCCAGTGTTATGGTGGTGGAGGTTGTTTTAGTAATAGAAATAGACTATTGGTTGGATTTGTCTGCGAGCTGACCTACCATCTCCCAGTGTATTATAGAATAAGGCTCCAGGGTTAAGGATATTACTAGTTTTATTTCTACTTTATAGTTTTCATTTTTATTTTAATACTGTGGCTGATAGCCTCTTAGACTATTGTATATATTTGATTTTTTTTTTTCTCATTCACTATATGCCTCCACACGTCTGACTACAGTTTTGCTTTTCATAATAAGCCTCCATATATCTGACTACAATTTTGCTCTTCATTTATTATATACCTCCACACGTCTGACTGTTTTAATGGCAGACATATTAAACTGTAAATATAGAGTGGGTTTCTCTCTTGAGAAATTTGTTCCAGCTTTCCCACATGAAAGGGTTGAGGTTAAAAAAATTGTGACAAAAATCAAACAAAAACAAGATTAGAGCGGACAAACTCTCTTTTAGGCAGACGAATAAAGAAAGACTCAAAACTCCTGCTCGGTGTGAAACAATAAAAGAAGAAAGTGTTTATTTACATGTACAAAAAATAAAAAGGGTAAACAAATAAAAAAATAATTAGAGAAAAAAGGAAGAAAAAAATCCTTTAACTTTAAAGGAAGAGAAAATGTTCATAACAGAAAAAAAGGCTTGCTCAAAATATTTCTCTGAGTGCCTAAAAGTTCTTTAAGCGAGTAGAAGGTTGTTAATGATTAGAAACACTCAGTTTTCCTCACAGTTCTTGTAGAGTAGGGAAATGTTGGTAGATATAGGAATTCTGCAGTTCAGTGAGTTCATAGGTCGATGACAGAAGTCTTATAGGTGAAAGGAGGCAACTTTCAGCTGTTCTTTAAGAGTGGGCCAAAGTTCATTCTCAACAGCTCCTTTGTAGGTAGTTCTTCTTTGGTTGAAACTGGTTCTGAAGTTGACTGGTGCTCCATATCACTGACCTCACAGACGTTGGTGATCAAATGCTCACTGCCAAAAAAGCAAAGACTCTCCAAATTTATGGAGATTTGGGAGGCTCAGAAGAATGGGTGACTTTCCCTCCAAAATTATGTTACAAATTTCCTGGCCTCTTCATTGGTCATAAAAAAATTCTTTTCTCTGATAAGAATCAAGGCTTTGGGAACTGGTTTTGAAAGTAAGGAAAAAGTTTGGAGTGAACAAGCTGTGAGGTTTCCCCCAGAATTTATGGCACCATGGAAAGAATAATGGTGATGGAATTCCTTCTTATATTTTCTAGCTCTCTTGTTAGTCAGAATATATATTCTTATCTCTGATAAGAATCAAGGCTTTGGGAGCCGGTTTTGAAAGTAAGAAAATAGGTTGGAGAGCGGATTGGAAAAAAATAGGTTAGAATGTGAATCTGCAAAACATTGTATTTGTGGTTCCCAAATTAAATTCCAATACCCTCAGCCTTTCACTGACTGGACAAATAACCTTAATGTTGCATCTCTTTTATCATTTGTGTTGGGTTTTATCAACCAGTTTCAGTACAAAACTATTTAGTGATAATTATTAATAATATGCAATATTCCTACCAATTTAAAATAAAATTTAATTAACTTATAAATTAAAGAGATAGATAAAGTTTGTACAGTATTTAAAACATATCTCTATCTATAAAAGGCAGGATGTGTGTGTGTAACAAATGCACAGCCACAATTTTCGTTGGATTTGCACCAAAATTTACATGCACACGCTCCAAGTCAGCAGGAAGGCCAAGACTAACTTTGCATTTCCCAACTCCCATTGATAGTGGAAATAATTGATTTTTTTTCATGCTTCTACAGCAGTTTCCATGTAGTTTGCGGCCATTTTCTCCTGGCCAGAGTGAGAGCCTATAGCTGGCTGCCACGAATAGGCAGGAAGATTCTTTTGGCCAGCGTGAGAGCCAACAGCTGACTGACACGAATGTCAACTAGCATGCAAAAAAAATTGATAGCTGCATTTGTCACAAGTGAGAAAAATTTAAATCTGCATGGCACTTTAATCCAATTGGCTCATTCGCTTGCTTAAACAATGTTGATTCTGATTCCGCAGAACTGGGTTGGGTGTGAAAAAGTATTTGTTGTTAACATTCTTTTTTCATTCGGTTTTTTCAGTTACGATTCCTTTTTTAAAGCTGATCGTTTTGCATTCATTTTGTTTAGTTCTTTTTTCATAACAGATTTAATGTTTAGTATAGAGCTTAGAAAAAATTCGTAGTGTGAGATAGGTAAGAAGTAAGGCATGTAGCAACATCAGCACAGCAAAGGGCACTCCTTTAAAGGCAAGGATGGGCAAAAATATTTTAAGTCAAGTGATAGCGATTGCTGTATGATTTGTATGATTTTTGAATCAAGCATGGGCAAAGCTGCTAGTACCAAATTAATCTGCAAATTTTTAAGATTTTAACCATGTACACTGTACAGTTATTAGAAATTTTATACACTTTAAGTAACACATTTTCAAATAGAGGTTAGCAATTTTGTTAAATATTTGTGCATATTCTTGTGTTTAATACTGTGTCCATGTATCACATGTAAATAAGACAGCATATCAAGTCAGAAGAGGAGTCATTAAGAAATTTTCCTTTGTCTCGCCTATTTCCGGTTGTTCAAAAGAAGAAACATGACAATTTAAAAAAAAAAAAAAAGGAAACATTTTTATAAAATCACCTTGAATATAAACATTTTGTAGTTGCACTTTATCTGCTTTCTTTTCATTTCCTTCTTCTTTGTAGATGTGTTGAATATTTTGACATGGTCAAATTTCCACCCCTTCAACCTATCACAAAATAAGATATATTTTGATTCCCCTTTGAGACGCTTCATATTAACCTCTTATCAACAGCTATTTTACACCTACCACCTGCTTTGACACTCCCTCAACTACAGTTCAAGCTGATCATTTCCACTGTATTGTTAAACAATAAAATCTTCTGTTTGATGTCATCTTAAAATACTTTTCTCATCCATAAATCTGGAGCTGTGGACATGCTTATACATACATATCTATGAAACTTACATTGCCTGCTGTTGATTTATATATATATATATGTTTTCAAGACCCTGTGGCATGTTGCTTTTATATTAACTATCTGGTGCTTAGATTTATTTCCAAACCAGCATAGACATATAGTAGTGTACAATGTAACCTGTTTTGTGATTTTTTTGGGGGGGGATATTGTTTAACTTAGTCTGTATTATAGAGTATCTGATCAAAACCAAAATGGCAGCCCCCATGATAAATTGCTGTCAGTGTCTTTTATAATCATATATTTTCTGTAAATGGCAATTTCCTATTTTTTCCAAAATGGGCCAGAACAGCCAGGCAACAATACTATAACAATGCAGCAGTGAAAGTGTTAATATTTTAGATCATTTGTTTCTTTTTTTTATTGTCAAATGTATCGGTTTCTGTTGTTTTTTTGTTAAATTCACAAAATAGATCCATAACTATAATCTTTTTATTTTTTTATGCAATATTAAAATTTTGCTAATTTGATTTGTGTCATATTTAAAAGCTATTTTCCTTTCATTTTTTTTTTATTTTTTTTTTTTTTATTTGCAGGTTGGAGCGGCTCGAGGTAAACTGAAGAATTTTGTAATTGAGCCTTTTGTGGCTCATAGTCAGGTTGGTTGCAGTTTAGAAACATTTTTTTATGTTGTAATAATATAAAAAAAAAAAGCATCAGTCTTAGCATCAAATGCTCATTGCTTGGTCTTTCTGTGTGTATTTAAAGTTGGCATTTCAGAATG